AGGCTCCTTACTTAGTAGGAAGCCTGCTTCTCCCTCTCCCTCTGCCTGCCACTCTGCCTACTTGGGTTCTCTATCTCTCAAAAATAAAGTCTTAAAAAAAAAAAAGTCTAGAAAAGGAGCAGGAGCCTTTGAAAAGTTAGTAGGATTAGTAACTTGAAGGTAGTGATGGTGAATGATTTGAAGTTGTGGTACTACAGGGAATGAGCTGTAAAGTGGGTTGTTAATGGAAAATGGGATATTTGAGATTAGGAAAGGGTTTGTTGTGGGTAATAATAAAGTCTAGAGTGAGGACTGAGGTAAAGTGGAGGACAAGATTATCACAAATGAATAGAAAGTGATCTAAACTAATGATAAGAGATTCAAAGCTGGAGGTTTTAAAGAGGAGGGAGGGGTTATCTAATGCAGAAGGAAGGGCCAAGGAGGACACTTAACCCTGCCTCCAAGCCCAACTAGATCAGGAAGAGAAAATAACTACTTGAGAGGACTGCAGAGGTCCTCTCAAGTAGTTCTTCAAGAGCAATAGCTTTTTTTTTTTTTTAAATTTTTATTTATTTGACAGAGATCACAAGTAGACAGAGAGGCAGGCAGAGAGAGAGAGAGAGAGGGAAGCAGGCTCCCTGCTGAGCAGAGAGCCCGATGCGGGACTCTATCCCAGGACCCTGAGATCATGACCTGAGCCGAAGGCAGCGGCTTAACCCACTGAGCCACCCAGGCGCCCCAAGAGAGCAATAGGTTTTAATTAGAGTAAAAACACGAGGGGATTGTTCAGAAAAAGCAATGATAAAAGGGATTATGCTAATGAATGGCCCAGTTCCTAAGGGCAGAGCGGAAGAGTTTGAGCAGTTGCAGGGCATTAGGTTGTGGTGAGAATATGGATTGTACAGAGCAGCCAGAGATGGGTTGGAGTGAGGAATTTATGACCTGAGCTTCTTGTGACGACTGGCAGGATCAGTCCTAACAGTCGTAGGACAGCAGGAGAGAGAAGTAAGTGCTGGGAGGAGGGGAAGGAGGAGCATCTGGCCAGCCAGAAGTCTCCTCTGTAGTCTTGACTACGGATGCCTAAAGGCATAAGAAGAAACAGTCTTACTTGAAGCACAAAGGGGCCACCTCGCCCTGCTTATTCTTCTTTTACTTTAGCATCACATATTGTCTCCTTTTCCATATTAGATCATAAGCTCTTTGAAGTGACTAAGAAATTTTAACTCATTTCGATGTTGCTTATTGATTGCCAGTACTAAGCTATTCGATAAATATATGCTCAAAAACAAGTCATACTTCTTACTGGATGGAAGGACTGGTTGAAAAAGACAAAGTATTTCCTACTCTGTCTTCTAAGAACTCTCTAGGGCTCCCCAATTCCTGATATTCTTCTGAGTCTAGTCCTAGAAGACCAGGTGCTGTTACAAAACCTGTTGTGCCCAGTCTGCTTGTGAAAAGACCAAAGATATCATGGCCTCCCTTTCCCTATGGTAAGAAGTAAAAATTCTGCTTATAATGGTATTTCTCTCAAAGAGAGAGTGTGCATAGAGCAAGGGGAGCAGCAGGCAAAAGCAGGCTCCCTATTGAGCAGAGAGCCCAACACAGGACTTGATCCCAGGACCCAGGGATCATGACCTGAGCCAAATGCAGATGCTTAACCAGCTGAGCCATCCAGGTATCCCTCACTGATCATCACTTCTTCTTCAGGAGGAGAGAATCAAAAGCCAAGCCAGAGTAAAATTCTCCAAGGACACTACAACCTGTTGTGAGTTTTCTGGGGAATGTAGCCAATCCTCACACGGCCATGCTTGGTGACAAATGACAAATGTCATGGTCTTGTTACAAGAAAGGATCTGGCAATCCTGGACATCTACATCACCATGAGGTACAAGCCAGCCTCTGAACCACTAAGGAGTTGATAAGATATGGGCCTAACGGATGATTTGATGTGGAGACAGGGTTGTGGCAGGAAAAGCAGAGAATTCAGAAACTGACCTAGAATCAGACACTTTACAAATATGTGACCAAACAGCTGAGTCTCTACCATAAGGTGACCACCACTAACTGTCTCATCAGGGCCTCACCAAGGCAAAGCCTCTGTGGCCAGGCCTAAGTTTGGCGACAGGCATCTGTCTGACCTAAAATGTAAGGCTCTCCAGTTTTTCAAGAAAATAAAACCTGATTATATCGTTCTTTTGTTTAAGTTGATTCAGTGGCATCCCATTACCTTTAGCCTAAGCCTGAACTCCCTTGCATGCCCCAGAGGTCCTGCAGGTTGTAAACTCTACCAATCACTCCACTTCATCTCTCCTCTCTTCTACCACTTTTCCTCCCACACTTCATATTCCAGCAACTTTAAGTTCTTTCCATTCCTAAAACATTCAATTTTATACTTGCTGTTGACCTAACACCTTCTAAATGCTTTTAACCCTCTTCACTCAGCTAACTTTAAGGTCTTAGCGTACATGGCACATGCTCAGAAAAGTGCTCTTTGTCCACTAGATGGGTCAAGTCTCCTGCTACAATATTTTACATCATACACTGATCTCATGTCTCTGTAATTACTCATTTAATGTTTTCTCTGCCCCCCCCAGTCCATTATTTCTACGAAGGCAGCAGCTGTAGCTACTGAAGTTACCATTGTATCCCCAAGGCCTTGTCCGATGACTGCAATATCACAGACGCAATTTAAAAAACAAACAAAAAAATAAGGTGGGTATGCTGTCCTGCTGTCCTGCTTAACACAACTGATTGTGAGTGCCATATTTTTCAGGCTACCCAGCTATAAGCTGAGAACCTTTCCCTTACTGCACCCAGAAATCTATCTTCAGGGATGCCTGGATAGCTCGGTTGGTTAAGCATCTGCCTTCGGCTCAGGTCATGATCCTAGGGTCCTGGGATCGAGTCCCACATCGGGCACCTTGCTTAGTGGGGAGACTGCTTCTCCCTCTGCCTACTGCTCACCTGCTTGTGCTCTCTCTCTCTCTCTCTGAAAAATAAATAAATAAAGTCTTTTTAAAAAAGTAAAAAAGAAATGTATCTTGAATGCATTCAGTATCTTTTTAATGAATAAATCCCATAAAATAATTTTTTAAAAAACCCCAAATGTTCAATTCAATAAAAGAGAATACAGGCCACCTAAAATACTATATTCACTTTATTTCTAATTTTTCTACTGGTTTTGATAACATTTAGAGAAAGAATAAATGCAAACAAGGCACTACTGTATCACATCAAGAAATAATTTTATCCAACGAGAATTCATATGGAAGATATATTTAACATCAACTCATATATTAGTAACTTATATACTTATTATTAAGTATGACATCATTAAAGCACAAAACAGTCTCTTGCAATCCCAATCAGACTTCTGGCCTCCCTTATGTGTCACTCCCATGACTACCAACCACACACATAAAGAGACTAGGGAAAATTTATTGAAGATGGTTTTCCTGGAAATTCGTAAAATGAGAAAGATAAAGTATGTCAAATAAAGCATAAAGAGCAATGGGGCCCAGAATTTACCCTGGAAAGGCTGCCTAAGGCACTACCAAAAAAACAGTTGTAAATCCCTGATCTGACTTTGAAATGTTATTATCTTAAAAATTTCAGTTTGAAGCACAAGATGACATGACCATACTAATTGGTATGTTATTTTCTCAGTAAAGGCATATTTGAAAAATATTATGTCTGTCCAGACACTGTTACCCCAATATGTGTTTGTAATACAGGTGCTTATATAAGGTGTGAAAATCAACTTGGTTATTCTTTTAATGCATTTTAAGAACTAATGACACTTGAACGAATGGTGGCACTATAGGGAAAAGGACTATTTTTACATAAAACAATACTAAATCAGCATGTGATGAGGTGGATTGGTGAGACTGTAAGAATTTTACAAAATGGTAATTTAGAAACTTTAAATGCTTTCATTCAGAACTGCAAAAAAGGAATCAATTATTCTCATTTGCTGGAATCACAGTTCTTATGAATAATAACATCTACTAATGAACCTGATCAAGAATGAGTAAAAAAAAATTTAAAAATTGGAATGAAAAATAAAATTAAAATTGGAATGATTCTGGTTAAGACCAGAATACAAAATTATGAAGACCAAATCAATTTTACAGTGGTGACAGAAGTATTTGGCTGTTATTTGGCTCATGAAAACAACGAATGCTCCTGACCAGTGGTTTCGGAGTGACGCGTCTATACCCAGGAGCTGGTTAAGGAGACTGAGAAGGAGGCCCCGAGATTAGGGCTCTGGATCTGCTCTGGACCTAGAGAAGCTCTACTTCTCTGTTTTACCATACAGTGAGAATGTGTGTGTGTGTGTGTGTGTGTGTGTGTGTGTGTGTATTTTAAGGCTTCAATTTGTTAAAAAAAAAAATCCTGAAAACCACAGCAATATATACATGCTATTCCCCAGCACACAAAGAGAATTGAAATCAGGACATATGAGACAAAAAGGCTCTAAAATTCTGGAATAATGATCAGTTTTCTTCTGACTTAACTAATGTTAAAGTGACTTGTCAACTGAGATATGCCACAGGGTACAGACTACTCATTAGGTACCTTCAGCTAATAGCACATATGCAGAGGCAGGCTAGCTACGTGGGAAAGGAGGAACTGCTCACAGGAGCTAGACAATCACAACAAGCAGGTCTCCTCTTTGGCCTGACCTTGGCAACAAGCAGTTTCTGAGAAGCCAAAGTTCTTCATGGCTGAGAGCTCATCTCCTTTAGACATTTCAGAGAACAAGCTGTACGAGCTGTGGTACAAGTTTTCAATAAGACTGAAAGGCATGTCAGCAAGGCACTGGTGCATCCACTTAAGGACAGAGGATAAACACATAACTTTTAACATTAAATTGTTAGAGATGATTGGCCAACCTACGAATATGCATAGTACTTGGCACATAGGTCCTTTAATAAAATGTTACTGAATCTATTCTGAAAATGTCACGTTTGCTAAGTAATATGTTCTAAAGGGTAAAAATCAGGAAAAAAATTCTGCTCTAAAAAGAAAAAAAAAAGGATGTAAAGTCCACTCTATCCTAATGTAGCAGTGGGGAATTTTTTTTTTTTAAGTTATAACAGGTTTTTAGGCTTAATACATACATTTTGGACTTGGGAAATAGCATAATTAAAAAGCAAAAATTAATTTTGATTAATATATGACCACTATCATGAGTTTAAAAATCAGATTAAAAATGTTACTAATAAAAGGGAGAAAATGTTTAAATGAATCTGCACAAATGTACAAATCAATGTGTGAAAGCTTAGCAAGGAAAATATAAAAATTGTCTTTTTAAAATAAGTATTTCATTAGGAAATGGAATTCTGAATTTCCCATTATATATTTGGTCCTCATAGCTTTCCTGGATAAAGCAGTCCTAACCATTTTAATAAACTCCAATTAAAATACTCTAATAATGTTGAATCTAGGCTAACCTATCATCTACACAGATATAAAATTCTGAATGTCACATACAGTAAATGAAAAGGTCAAATCTGACTATGTTTACAGTATTCTACAATGAAAATAAAAAATCCAGGAAGGCAAATAAAAATGGCTTACTTACATGAGGTTCTTTTTATTTGTTGATTGTACATTTTAAGAATTGGATATATGCCTTCCCTTCTCATCCAGTATTTTTTAAGAAGTCCTAAGTGAATGCATACTGTTTTATAAACTGCATTGTCAAAACTGCAGCAAAATTCAGCAAAGTGAATGTAGTTTTATCCCATGGAAAAGCACTGAATACAGTTACAGGAACTAATTCAGTATCATCTAATTTAAGAAGTTCTTGTCACCAGATCTGGTTATGTTGGTTTGTGAAACATACATTGCCTAGAACAAAGTACACCAACCTGCAAATCACAACCCAGCAATTTTCATTCTTTCTATTGACAAACATTCAGAAACAGTATTTTCACTATATGAAAGTAAACAACCACAACCACCAAATCAACTTTTCTCACACGAGTTTCTAATCCCAACAGTGTCACTGCAAGTCACTAGCAATCACCGCATTATTGAGCAAAGATTAACTTAGCACTTCCCTCCAAAAAAAAAAAAAAGTATGAAAAGAATGCTTTTTACATCATAAATGCTGGCGATGAAAAGCATGTAAAATAATAGATTCATGATTCAGGGTGGGAGAGGAATCCATTGCTCCACACAGCACAAAAGAATTCTGCTGAGGCGGCCATAGCTCTTTTCATTTCTTAGCTGGGTTCTTGGGAGGAAGGAGTTTATATGTGTTGAAGTAGCCCACCACCTGCTGGGGGATCTCTGCCAAGACACACTGAGCGAGCGCTTCTTTCGGAGCCTTATGAAAAAACAAAATCAGAGTGACTTTTATTAGTAACCAAATTTTTACTGGCATTTTGATAACAGACTAGGAATACCTCACCTGTCAGTAAAAAGCAGTAATTCCCAATTCCTAGGCTTATATCCTGTCTTAGGAAAAGTCTGTGAAACACAGAATGAGCTAAGTAACCAATGTTACTTAGGAGTGCTATATTACCCAGTAATATGTATCAAGTCCTTTTTTGGTGCCAGCATTTTGGCATTTGATAATAACTTTTTTCTTTAACTTTTAAAGGTGGGTTTTTTATTCACTTGGTATTAATTTTTTTAACTTTTTATTTTGAAATAATGACAGATTCATAGGAAGTTGCAAAAACAATATTCACCCAGTTTCTTTCAAAGGTAGTATCTTTCATAACTATAGCAGAATATTAAAAGCAAAAACACTGACAATGGTACAGTTCACAGGCCTTATTCAGATTTTACCAGCTTTATTTTACATGCACTTATTTTCACATGTGGATGTAGTATTCTATATAATTTTATCACCTGGATAGATCTGTATAACCATCACCACAATCAAGAGACAGAACTGTTTCATCATGACAAGGATCCCTAACATTAACACTTTTAATCACCTTCCCCCACACTCATACATTGGCTCCTGGGAATGTAAAAAAGCATAACCATTCTGGAAAAGTTCAACATTTTCTTTAATAATTAAACAGGCAATAATCATACGACCCAGAAACTGCACTTCTGGGTATAATAGAGAAATAAAAATTTATGCCCACACAAAAACCTGTATATGAATGTTTATAGCAGCTTTGCATATAACAGACAGAAACTGAAAACAATTAAAGATGTCCTTCAATGGATGAATGGTTAATACCTACACCGTGGAATAGTCCTCAGCAATAAAAAGGAACATATGCAGAAACAACCCTGCAGAAAATCATGCTGAGTGGGGAAAAAAAAAAAAAAAAAAGCCAATCCTAACATTTCTATAACATTTTTGAAATGACAAAATTATGGAAGTGGAGAACAGATTAGTGGTTGCCAGGGGTTACGGGGGGTGGAGGTGCAAGAGAAGTGGGTGTGGCTATAAAAGGGCAACTTGAGGAGTCTTGAGAGGATGGACCTTCATTGTTTATCAATGTGTATACCCTGGTCATAGATTCTGTGCTGTAGTTTTACAAGATGTTACCACTGGAGTGAACTGGGTAAAACAAAGTCCTGAGAGATTTTCGTCAGATTAACTTCCAGTCTGGCAAATTCATCATATACTTGTATAGAGTTTTTCTGTTGTTACATACATAGGTAAAGATAAAATACACTTTAAAACATTCACAGCGGGGCGCCTGGGTGGCTCAGTGGGTTAAAGCCTCTGCCTTTGGCTCGGGTCATGATCCCAGGGTGCTGGGATCGAATCCCACATCGGGCTCTCTGCTCCTCGGGAAGCCTGCTTCCTCCCGTCTCTCTCTCTCTCTGCCTGCCTCTCTGCCTACCTGTGATCTCTGTCTGTTAAATAAATAAATAAAATCTTTAATAAATAAATAAATAATAAAACATTCACAGCAACACCACTTATAATAATTCATCATACAGACGGCAAGAGGCATGCAAGTATACAACTTGAAGCAAAACTGCAAAATCTAATCAGGGCTCTTCAAACCAAAACTCCATACATCCTCTAACCCCAGACACCTACTTCACTACATGGTGATGGACTGGTGAATGTCTGTGTTCAAACTGCTTACTGTGCATGAAGAATAAGGAGGAGTGGTACTCACGTTCTGGAATTGTCTGAAAGGCACAAACTGGACGATATCTCGGATGGCTACCTCGCCTGATGGGGAGCGGAGACTCCCACCATCACCATCCAGAAACTCCATGGCACTGAAGTCAGCACCTCCTACTCCCACAATGATGATGGACATAGGCAGCTTGGCGGCATTAACTATAGCTTGTCTGGTCTCATCAAGGTCTGTTATCACACCATCAGTAATGATCAAGAGCACATAATATTGCTGCCAAGAAAGAAAATTATATTCACTGAGCGGGTCGAGCTCCCAAACAATAAAAGCAATCGTTAAAAACGTCTCCAGTGTGATGAGTCATTCAAGTCTCTTTCTTGCTCATTTCCCTTGCCAGTCTCTACCCAGGATACCAGCTACAGAAAATATTCTAACATTCTCTAATGACAAGGAAATGTATTCATACAAAAATTACAGGTTTATTAAAAATGAAACAGACCACAAAGTAGGGTTAGCATAAATATAAAGAAGTGAGACATCGAAATGTCAAAGATTAAACTTTTAGTGAGCATAGGAGTAAATACGTTAACATAAGTATTAAATATGTCAAAGTACTGATCAAGGGAATAAGTGGTAACTCTGTTTCTAAAAGGTCAAGTATGGAAGGAAGTAGAATTGTTTATCAAACTAAAGTGCATTTAAAAAAAAAAACGAATAGGTCTGGGGGGCGGAATCTTTCAATTCTCTCATTTCTGATAAACATTTTTAGAGGTTGGTAAAATATTACATAAAATTGTAACTCCACATTTTGGGTCATTTAAATCTAGAATGGAAACAAGTTTTATAATAAAGCTAACACATGCTGGGTGTTTACTCTGCCCCAGGCACTGTGCACTTTATAAGAATTATCTTAGTTCACATTTCAGCAGTCATATGAGGTAGTTATCTCTACCCTACTTTTGGATATAAAAAGTTATGAAGCTAAGAGAGATTTGGTATCAAGGTCCAACAGATAATGGTTATCTAATCCAAACCCTTTGAATACAGTTAGTGATTTTTCATCAGCAACTGAAATTGTAAATTTTCTCAATTTGATAATTTGTTAAGTCTACCTTTGAAAAGGCAGATTTTAATCATTTCTTTTTAGTAAAACCTATTTACAAAAATTAATTCAAATGGCAGAGAAAAGATTCACGAGTATAAGGGTTATTTTTTTGTTGTCTTGTACTTAATGATCACTAATATAACAACAGTTGTTACTCCCGAACCAAGGATAGCCATATGTTATTACTTCATTCTTTGTATATCAATGGGCCAAATAAATGGAAAAATGGCACCAGAAGCAACTACCAATCCAAATTCTCCTTGTCCCCTGGTACTATAGCACTTACAGAAGCTGTCTGTTGTTGGGTGGCTGCAGCAGCAAAGCTGGCCACATGGTTTATGATTGGAGAAAAATTAGTTGGTCCATAGAGTTTTATCTGAGGAAGGCAGGCCCGATATGCCTCTACAATGCCCTGGATTCCTAGGCAAAAAAAAAAGCAGAATTAAAAATTCTCAAACACAATTTAATTGTTCATTGTTTACCATACTGGCTAATTTAATTAAATATATATATGTGTGTGTATATATATATATATATATATATATGTATGTGTATGTGTGTGTGTGTGTGTGTGTGTGTGTGTGTATACACATCTATTACTTTAGTTAAAAACTCTATATTCAAAAGTTCCTCTTAAACCATGTGTTATAAAACTTCATAGCCATGCTCCATTGCAAACACCTATAAACATTACTGTCCTCCAATAAAAGACATTTATTTTCATATCAGCCAAATTATTCATTAATCTACAGTGGGACTGTTATATTGCATAATTTTTGTATTTTAGGAATAAGACTTTAATGGGAAAAGAATCATGAAAAAGTTGCTGCATCTCACAACTGACAAGAGGTAAGAAAAACGTATTGAATAAATAGAAAAACTTTTGCACATGTGGCCAAAGATTCTACAAAGTCGGATGGTTATAAACCTAACTGTTAATTGTAGTCAAGAGTTAGTAGTCAATAACTTAGATGTTAAGCATGGTACGGGAAATTGTATAGTCATAAAAATTCATTTCCAGGTTATGTATTACATTTTGCTGCAGAAATACCAATGTGTTTGTTTGTTTATGCTGTACTGCCTGGGCCTGCTGGGATGCTGTATAGTGAAGATTGGGCAGGGCCATTCAACTAGCTTTAACCAAGCATGTAAATGGACATGACATTCATATCTAAGTAGACGTTTTAAGAGCCACTGCCTGTTTTCACCAGCGATCTGGCTCTTTCCCTCTGCAAAGGGAGTAACACATCCCAGATACAGTCCTGAGTCCCAGAGTAAGAAGAAACTTAGAGCAGACTAGCTATATGTAAAGGGATATATAAATAAACTATTTTATTTATATATAAATAAACTATTTGGGGGCGGACTCTTTCTCTCAATTCCTCGTTTCTGATAAACATTTTTAGAGGTTGGTAAAATATTACATACATAAAATTGTAACTCTATCTTTTGGGTCATTTAAATCTAGAATGGAAATAAGTTTTATAATAAAGCTAACACATGCTTTATAAAATAAACTATTGCTATTATAAATAGAAATAGAAACCATTGCTATTATAAATCACTGAGGGTTAGATTGTTTATTACAACAGCACAACTTAGTGGAAGCTAAGTGGCATTCCTGGTAAAAGCATTGCTAGTAAGCTTTAATGCAACATACGCGCCTGTGGAATCCAGCCCTTATGTCAGAGTGTCCAGGATGCAGGTAAGATACTAGAAATCCTCAAGAACTTCCCCCATACTTGTTGAGATCATCAAGGAAATCTGCCTAAAAAGATTTTTAATGCAGGGGCACTTGGGTGGCTCAGTGGGTTAAGCCTCTGCCTTCGGCTCAGGTCATGATCCCGGGGTCCTGGGATCGAGCCCCGCATCGGGCTCTCTGCTCAGCAGGGAGCCTGCTTCCCCTCTCTCTCTGCCTGCCTCTCTGCCTACTTGTGATCTCTGTCTGTCAAATAAATAAAATCTTTTAAAAAATAAAAAATAAACGTTACAGGAAAAAAAAGATTTTTAATGCAAACCAAAACAAGTCTGTTGCTTAAAAGATCCCCAACAGAGCAGAGATCAAGAAGGAAAAGAAGTAGATACTTGACTTAAAACTTTCACAAGACCAACTCTCTTAACATTTAAGAGTTCTAATTCACTCCTCTAAGTCACTTTGAACTTAGGAAGAAGTCAGTCCAGTACTAACAAAAATAGTATTAACATAGGCCAGCAGTAGGATCTTACCACAATCATACATACTGCAGAAAATTTGGGTACCCAGAGCAATAATACTCTTTCATTTTTATCATCTCAGCTTGCTTTTCAATCTGAAGATATATAAACTATTAATTAAATTTCTTCACAAATATCAATTGCCTTCAGTTACCGCACTAAAATTAAGTTATGCCAAAATCCTTCCTTGCATTAAAGGAACATTTTGTTGGAATAATTTGTATTAGGGTTTGTTTGTTTGTTTTTAAGATTTTATTTATTTGTCAGGGAGAGAGAGAAAGAGTCACAAAAAGAAAACTAGGTAGGGAATTTAAGTAAATCACAAGTAACAAACTAGTAACAAGTTTGAAGAAAAAAGACAAGGAACAAGACAATTAACAAAAAGACAAGTAAGAAAAAAACAAGTAACAAACTAGTAAGGTATTCAGTATAAAATCTTCCTGTTTTTTAGCTTACCGTTGCAATAAGGATTGGATGGATTAAAGTTCATTGGAAATTCATGTGAAACCTGCCAAAAGAGGAAAGGACTGATGAAGCCTGTTTTGCTTTTGTGGGAGGCAAATACTTAAAATAAGATTTCCTCTTACCTGCCACTGAGGAGGTATCTGAGCTCCAAAACCAAAAGCTGGAAACATTTTATCACTAAAAAGAAAATGTGTAAAAAACTGAAAGATCATTTTTTTTTCAAAATAGAAAATTTTATCTTTACTCTTAATAAAACCTATAGTTTGTGGGTTTTTTTTTAATTCAAAAATCTTAGGAAAATAAAAAGATTAAACCCATAGTAACCACCAGAGAGAACCAATGTTAACATCTGGCAACAATCATTCTAACTATTTTTCTGTGCACTGAGGGAGAAAAATGCTTCTCTCTATATATTTATAAAAATGGAGTTTGTATTCATTTTATAATATGCCATTTTCTACTTAAATACTATATATTATTTTGCTGAATAAATATGTAGATAAATCCATAAAGCTTTGAAAACCACAAGTTCATTGGCTTATAGCAAATGCATTTGGCAGCAAAACCTGACCTCAACTGACACGAGGTTATTTATAGCTTTTATTCATGCCACTGATTATGAATATTCATACATTTGGCCACAGAAACATGGTGCAAATGCCACATATAAAATTCTCACATTTTTTGTGCAAAATGTATGAATATTTGGTCCCAATTGTTTAGGGAGAAGGGATTATGCACCTGAATATATAACATCATGTGAATGGCTGCCATGTATTCCACCACTTTATGGATATTCTCCCCCAACTAATAAAGATCCAATGTTTTGCTATCACAAAACACTGTAATGAACATACTAATCTTTCTGCTAGGATATAAATGTATATTATCATATATATATATATATATATCAGAAAAATTAGTATGCTCATTATGTTCATTATGGTATGTTCATTCATTAAAATATATATGTATATATATTTTAATTTACTCATTGGAGAGAGAGAGAGCACATAAGCAGGGGGACAAGCAGGCTGAGGGAGAAGCATGCTCCCTGCTGAGCAAGGATCCCAATGTGGGACTGAATCCCAGGACCCTAGGATCATAACCTGAGCCAAAGGCAGATGCCTGACTGACTGAACCAACCAGGCGTCCCAAAAGGATATATTTTTTTAAGATTTTATTTATTTATGTGTCACAGAGAGAAAGCACAAGCAGGGGGAGCAGCAGGCAGAGGGAGAAGCAGGATCCCTGCTGAGCAAGGATCCTGATGTGACTTGATCTCAGGATCCTGGGATCATGACCCAAGCCGAAGGCAGACACTTCACCGACTGAGCCACCCAGGTGTCCCAGCTAGGATACTCCTTTTAAATTAGTTTTTAATGGTTCTTTTTGTATTGAGGATAGAACCTGAGTCAGACACATCAGGAGTATTTTTCCCAGTTTGTAGTCTGCCTTTAACTTTGTTTAAAATATACTTCCTTTTATAGTTTTCAATATTAATGAATGTGAACAAATAAAATTTCTTTCATGATTTCTGCCTCTGCTGCCTTGCTTAGCCTTCCTCACTGCAAAATTATAAACAATTCACACATATTTATTCCTAGAATGTCCAAGGTTTGATTTTGATATTAAACTTCTAATTCACCCAGAAAGTCTTTTGGGGTAGGATATGAAACAGAAACTGCCACTCTCTATCTGTATCCCTTCTCTCCCTTCTTAATAATGGAACACCTGAGCTAGAGACCACACTAGCTCAGCTGCAGCTTCTCTGGGCTGCATGTGGCCAGGTGGTAGATAGATTCTAGTTAAGAAAATATGAGTAGAAGTGGTTATCAGTTACTTCTGAATCAGGATGCCCCTAGGAGGGAAGTCACCTGTACTCCTTCCCAGTTGCCCATCTCCTCCTCCCACTGACTAGACAAGATTAGAAGCACAGCATTTGCCTTGGACCCAGGGGTAGAATCTAGGACTTGACAATGGTAGAACTGCCCTATCAATCCTATACTATCTCTAGACTTGCAACATTAAAGGGAAAATAACTTCTGTTTGGGTAAATGCACTTTGTTTTGGGGGTGTCCACTCTAGCAGTTTGTCTATACCAAATAGTATCCTAACAGGGGCACCTGGCTAGCTCAGTTGGTAGAACATGTGACTCTTGATCTCCAAGTTGTGAGCTGGAGCCCCATGTTGGGTGTAGAGATTACTTAAACATAAAATCTTAAAAAAAAAAAAAAAAAAAAAAAAAAAAGTACCTTAACATATACCAGTATGAGTTCGGGATCTAAATTCACTTCTTGTCTAGTTTAGCAGCTGTGACAACTCCTTTCCCCTAAAACGTCATCTCTATCACATACTAAGTTCACATACACACTAGGGTCTATTTCAAGACTTCTTGCTTTGTTCCACTGGTCATGTACTAGTTCTGTAATATTAATAATATAGCTTTAACATGAGGGTTTCTTTAAAGATCTTATTTATTTGTCAGACTGAGAGAGAGAGAGCACAAGCAGGGAGAACAGTAGACAGAGGGAGAAGCAGGCTCCCCTCTGAGCAAGGAGCCCAATTCGGGATACAATCCCAGGACCTTGGGATCATGATTCTAATTTTTTTTTTTTACTTGATTATTTTAGGTTTAAATTCATTCCTTATAGGTTTGCTAGAATTTATGTATGAAATTGTCTTGGCCTCGTGCCCTTGAGAGGAGTGGCTCTGTGACCAGCTATCCCATTCCTTCCATGATTCCAGGTCTACTCAGGCTGTTTAAATCAACTTTGGTAATTTAAAGCTTTTCTCCCCCTCCCCCATCCCCGCAAAATCCTTTAATCCAGATTTTCCAATGTAATAAGAAAGTTTTATATAGTATTAACTTCTAGTTTTTAATGGTTTTTTTCTTGAATGTATGCTTATACTCTCTGTCTCATTACTAATATTCTATGCACGTTTTCTCTTTCTTGGGGGTCAGCGTTGGCAGATTTGCCTGAGTTTTGTTGAACTTGCAAAGAATCATCTCTTCATTTAATTTATTCATTTAGTGAGGTTTTTTTTTTTTTTTTAAACTTTCCAAGTCTTTACTTTCAGTGTTTAGAAGAAATACATCACAGTACATAATAAACAGTTTGGAAAGCACGTCTCTGGAGCAGACAGCCCAGGCTCAATTCTATCTCTGCCAGTTACCAGTTGAGTGACCTTGGACAAGTTAACCTCTTACGCCTCAGTTTTCTCATCTGTACACTGTAGATGATAATGGATGATAATAGTACCTATGTCACAGCAAAGTATGAGGATTAGGTGAGTTATCATGTAGAAACAGTATTATATTGTGCCTGATATGTCATAGCTAATTTATAGACAGAATCTGCTATTATTGTTATATCTTTATTTTTTCTCCTATTCTTTAATTTTATTTTATTGAAAACCTAGTTCATTTATATTCAATTTTTCTTGTTTAAAAATAAAAGCATGTAAAGCCAGAAATTGTCCTCTATAAAGACAGGACCACACTGTATGTTAACTACCTAAAATTTAAATTAAAAAAAAAAGGGGGGGGTGCTCGTGGGTGGCTCAGTCATTAAGCGTCTGCCTTCAGCTCAGGTCATGATCCCAGGTTCCTGGGATCGAGCCCCACATCGGGCTCCCTGCTCGATGGGAAGCCTGCTTCTCTCTCTCCCATTCCCCCTGCTTGTATTCCCTCTCTGGCTGTTTCTCTCTGTCAAGTAAATAAATAAAGTCTTTGAAAAAAATACTAAAAAAAAAGATAGGACTATGTACAGTCTTCTTGGTGCCCCTATTTCTAAGATAGTCTGTTATTATACTTCAGTTTCTTCTTTGTTTTTGTTTTTAAAGATTTTATTTATTTGAGAGAGAGAAAATGAGAGAGAGCGAGCATGAGATGGGGAAGGTCAGAGGGAGAAGCAGAGCCCCTGCTGAGCAGGGAGCCCTCAGGACTCGATCCCCGGACTCCAGGATCATGACCTGGTGGGAAGGCAGTCGCTTAACCAACTGAACCACCCAGGTGCCCTCAGTTTTCTCTTTGATCTAAGAACTTGTTAAGATTTTTTTATTTCCATATGGTAAATTTTATTTTAGTTATCCTTTTGTTAACTTCTAGGTGGCAGTCTGATAAAGTAACTCTGTGAACTTTTTATTTTTTATATAACCACCACTATAATTATGTTACTTTAAAATTTTTATTGTACTTCTAACTACTTTCAGTTGAAATACTTCGATACTCTTATCAAACATGTCCATGGTTATATTTTCATTTTGGATTATGTAACGAAGTTTTCTATAGAATAGTTTTTTTGTTATATTTAATGACTTTTGTCTTAAATTCTACCTGGCTGGTATCAGAATTGTCACCTTTGCTTTAGATTTGTTCATTTGCCTGAAAATTCACCTCTTTAAATATCATAGCAGATTAATGAAAAGCTCCATCAATATATGTAAGGGCTTTAATCATAAAATAATAGGCAAAGGTAAGTGAAAATTTATACAGTGCCCTAAGAGATCCAGAACAAAAAATTATTAAGGTGGACTTTCTTTTCTATTGTTTGGTAAACCTTCAAGAGGGCCTATTTAATCTATTCAAAAATCTATACATTGAGAATCTATTCAAATTTTTAGAGCAATCAGGTCAAGTTTTCTTTTGGCACTTGTTCAAAGTTGCCATTAAGAGAATAATTTGAGGGGCCCCTGGGTGGCTTAGTTAGTTAAGCATCCGACTCTTGGTTTTGGTTCAGGTCATGATCTCAGGGTCATGAGATCCAGTCTCAAGGGGTGCTCTGCACTCAGCAGGGCATCTGCTTAGGATTCTCTCCCTCTCCTTCTGCCTCTTTCCCCCACTTGCATGCTGTCTCTCTCTCAGATAAATAAAACTAAAAAAAAGAAAAAGGAAAATAATTTGACAGTGACTGCCAAGAAATAGACATGTTAATAAACAGTGTCTATAAATGTTTACAAAATATGTCATCTGGACTTCAGTTACACAGATAACTTATCCTTAATAAATAAACCCCAAGGAAACAGTTGACTCCAGTCAGCTGTTAAATAAACAAGCTATATATAATACATTATAACTGATCACAGCTAGAGAGAAGAGGTCAAAAGTAAACCCTAAGACTGTCACAAAGAGAAAACTAGAAAAGAGAACACAGAAGATTTTAGGGAGAAAGTTATTCCCACCACACCCCCTTTTCTACCCTCAGTCAACCCCAGCAGCCCTATCACCACCAATTATATCAAAGTACTAGCAGATGAAACAGAAACTGCCCTTTCTGGAGAGCTATGAAAACAAGTATTTTAGTCATACTCACGTATCATAATCTTGAATGACCAGTCCCACAGACCAGATAGCAGTCAAATACTCATTAACACCATTTGGGCTAATGTAATGAAGGGAGTCAGGAGACCTTGGGTCGCCATTAGAGCCAGTGAAGTCCACTCCCACCTGCCAAATAACAATCACAGCCCTTACTAAGGAGAAGCCATATGTTCAATGTCCTGGAGACAGACACTCGGCCCAGAGCCTGCTGCTGCCATCTCCTAACAAATGCCTGGGCCTACCAGTATTTCCACAGACAATTAAACAGTTAAAGCTTCAGCCTGAAACAACCTGCTGCTATTCATATTTTTTCTAGATGACTCAAATCCATGAATTTTTATACCCAGGAGTTCAGACATAGGGCTTATTTTGTAGGTTGTTTAACTAACGCTTTCTGTAATTTAAATTACTCCATCAGAAGGAACAGATCTTATCAACAAAGTTGAAGGCTTCCTGATGAACTTAGACAACCTGTCTGAGGAGACCATACTAAACGGCGTGGGTAAATTCCAAAGTTGGTTTTACAAGAAAATAAAGGAACAGTGCGAAACTGTAGGAAAAAAGTAACATGTTTCAGCCTACTTTGAGAAAGTCAGTGTTACTTACAGTAAAATTCAGTTGACATCCTCCCATGATATAGTCAAGGAATGTGCACTCCACTGTAATCTAAAAACAAAGAGCAAACTCTCAAAATCAAAAATCTCTTACTGGGGTTCCTGGGTGGCTGAATTAATCGAGCATCCAATGCTTGGTTTTGGCTCAGGTCATGATATCTGGGTCATGGGATCTAGCCCCACAACAGGCTCTGCACTCAGCGAAGAGTCTGCTTGGGATTCTCTTTTCCTTTCCTTCTGTCCCACAACCCCCCATAAAAATAAATAAAAAATCTTTAATTAAAAAATCTCTTACTATACAAGAGATACAAAGAGCTCTCTGGCATATATTTTTAACAGTTTAGACACTGAACAGAACCATGATATAAGCAGGTGGAAACCACACTGGTATTTGAGTTTAAGTATCCCCGTCCCTACTTGTCATAAATCTGTAAGATCTTACTTTGAGATAATTAAAGCAATGTTAAGATTAGATTTTTTTTGTTTTAAGATTTATTTATTTTAGAGAAAGAGATACAGAGCATGAGCAGGGGGAGGGGCAAGGGATATTAGGGACAGACATAGAGAAGCAGACTCCCTGCTGAGACGAGAACCCAAGTTGGGGCTCAATCTCACAACCCCGATATCATGACCTGAGCTAAAATCAAGAGTCCAACACAGAACCAAATGAACCTCCCAGATGCATCTAAGATTAGAATATTAATGGCCAAAGATGAAATACACTCACTTCAAGTTTTAAGAAACTAGTAAAGAGTCTAATATGTTGAGAGCTTGATAATAATCAAGATTAAAAAAAAAAAAAAAAAAAAAAAAACCAAAAAATCCATTTGTTTGTTGCAAGAAAGCTCGTGAATTTTTCACTCTATTTATAATATCTCAACTTGAAGTTATGACCAGGATAGATGCACTGGGTTAGATCATTTCTACTAATACCCTGGGAAAATACCGTGATGTTTCACATTTCCTAAAAATAAGAAAAAAAGGGGCACCTGGGTGGCTCAGTGGGTTAAAGCCTCTGCCTGTGGCTCGGGTCATGATCTTAGGGTCCTGGGATCGAGCCCCGCATCAGGCTCTCTGCTCAGCAGGGAGCCTGCTTCCCTTCCTCTCTCTCTCTGCCTACTTGTGATCTCTGTCAAATAAATAAAATCTTTTTAAAAAAAAAAAAAAAGAAAAAAAAAAACTTCAATATTCTTTGTCTTTTGCCAAAAAGTTATCAAACCTTAGAAACAAAGTTACTTGGAAAGATTTCTATACTATTTCCTACTCTCTTCTTTTCCCTAAGGGTGTCCAGATGATCATATCATTTTCAATTGCCCAAAATTCAATTCACATTTCCTAAGATAAGGAAAAATTGTAATATTCTTTGTCTGGTTTAATATACACCATATTGAAAAAAGAACTTGAAATGTGATCTCATGGAACGCCTGGGTGGCTCAGTTGGTTAAGCGGCTGCCTTCGGCTCAGGTCATGATCCCGGCGTCCTGGGATCGAGTCCCGCATCGGGCTCCTTGCTCGGCGGGGAGCCTGTTTCTCCCTCTGCCTCTGCCTGCCACTCTGTCTGCCTGTGCTCATGCTCTCTCTCTCTCTCTCTCTCTCTAACAAATAAATAAATAAAATCTTTAAAAAAAAAAAAAGAAATGTGATCTCATTATACTATAAATGGTAAACATCAACTAACCTCACACTGTTTCACACTGATAACACCTGAATTCTTGTAGCTTTTCTTCTTTTGCCTCTTTTTTTCATTTATGCATTCAAATTCCACCTGTAGGAAGTAAAGACAAAATATTAGTTCTTACTAGTGATATAAAAAAATGCCAATGTTGGGGCGCCTGCGTGGCTCAGTCAGTTAAGAGTCTGCCTTCGGCTTGGTCATGATCCCAGGGTTCTGGGATGGAGCCTGCTTCTCCCTCTGCCCCTCCCCCTGTTCATGCTTGCATGTGTGTGCCCGCACGTGCGCTCTCTGTCTCTCTGAAATAAATAAATAAAATGTTTTTTAAAATGCCAACATGAATTTAAATGAATGGCTTTTTTTCGCTTGGAATCGAACCATCCCCTGATATAGGTCTGCTGCAAAATATAATTTTGAAATAATTACATAATAAAATATGTGAAATATTTTTAACTGAAATTTGTAAAAGGTATAAATTTTGCCTCTAATAGATGATTTCCTTGCAAATGCTTCAAGTAACATTCTTTATTTTTTATAATAAGGGAAATAAAATATTACTTTGACCCATTATTTTCAAAAAAGAAGAAAAATATGCTGCTTAGAAAAAGAAGGGAAAAAAACCTACCATCAGAAAACAGAAATATATGGAGCCTAACTATATGGTAAAATATGCAAAGATCATCTTTTTCCCCTGGGGATACTTTCAGAGATAGAACTAATATCTTACATCTTCTTTCCAGTGTAGCTCCTTTCCCCAAACAGAAGGATCTTCTTTTCCACCTTCTAGCCACCTATCCATCCATAAGGCTTGGCTCAAGCTGCCCTCCTCTATAACATCAACTCATATTCCAGTTTTCTATCTCCATTCATCTCTGTAAACTTCTACGACTATATAAAATTTAGTTACATACTTTGTGTTATTCTTAATTGTTTCATTTCATTAATTTTGTTTCATACCTGGGATATAATCACCACCAAATTATACCTTCAAATTTTCTCTGTCTTGATCAACTCAAGGAACACTTGGTGAGTCACCTTTTCTGATGAATAGAAAGTAACTTATATACTTTAGACAGAGTCATTGCTAATTTTCTTTTTTTTTTTTTTAAAGATTTTATTTATTTATTTGACAGAGAGAGAGAGATCACAAGTAGGCAGAGTGTCAGGGGGAAGCAGGCTCCCTGCCGATGCAGGGCTCGATCCCAGAACCCTGAGATCATGACCTGAGCCGAAGACAGCGGCTTAATCCACTGAGCCACCCAGGCGCCCCCATTGCTAATTTTCTAGGAATCAAATATTAAAAGGTACAGTAGATACAACAATAAAAAACAAAATTATGTTAAATAAATTCTTTCATAGTTCAGGATCCTGCCAGACTTCTCAGTCATCATGATTATTAACTATTTAATATTTGAGATGTGGGAAAGCCCTAAAGAGAATTCTCATTGGTAAAAGACTGTGTTACTTCATTTCATTTATTCCCATTTTGACAGAATTGTCTACCAAGTGGCAGGTACTATTCTAGGCACTGAAAACACAGATGATAAAATATGGCTCTGCCTCTGAAAAACAAGAGCGGATAAACGTTGTCATTGCAGCAATATTAAAAGCTGCATTCTGTCGTGGAGAAGGGAAGGATCAAGATAGCTAGATTTAGAAAAACTTTACATGACCCATAAAGAATTATAGAGTTAGTTGTTCATTATCTTCTAAAAGTAGGTCATTTACTGATTCTTCAAGATAGTGACAAAGTGAAATTACTAAAACAACAATCCAGACCACTCCTCTTTAGTTCTTATTTAGGTAGCTTGTTTTATTTGAACTGTTCAGACTTTTAGCATTTTTCATTAGTTCTGCTTTTTAAAAAAAAATTATTTGAATAGGTATTTACAGGGGCACATGGGTGGCTCAGTGGGTTAAGCCTCTGCCTTCGGCTCAGGTCATGATCTCAGTGTCCTGGGATCGAGCCCCGCATCGGGCTCTCTGCTCAGCAGGGAACCTGTTTCCCCCTCTCTCTCTGCCTGCCTCTTTGCCTACTTCTGATCTCTGCCTGTCAAATAAATAAAATCTTTAAAAATAAATAAATAAAACTAGGGATTTTCAATCAAACCAAATATATTGTCTGAAGCTAAAGGAAACCAAACCTCTAACTATAAATATAAACTTAGACTCCCAAGTATGGATCTTGGATCATCCAATTACTACACAAATACAATCCACAGATTTCAGAACATTTTAGAACACAGCAAAAACATGGCAAACAGTTTGCCATACCAAGGGAAAAAATGAAATAATAAATACATGGCCAAACAGTAAAGTGCATTCAAGTAACAAAGATGCAACTTACAGGTGAATTTCTGGAGGCTTCTTTCAGTTTTGTCATGGTGGTTTGAAATGTTCCAATGAGATCATGTGACCCATCATTATCATAATCATAACACTCTACCTAGAATTAAGTATAATAAAAATGTATAAAAGTCAACCTCATTTTGTTTAAAAGGATTGCCTGCAATAAATGGGACTTACCAAGAAGTGTCCTATTGATGTAAAAAAGTGAAAATGTTTAATAGGAGAAGTAGGAACTAACTTCCTGGAGGAAGTTAGTGAACCACTTTCAAACCCCAGCTATTCTTGCAACGGGGATCTAGGACAGATCATAGGCAGATGAAAAATACAGATACTGTCTAAATTCCACATTAAACAGTTTCCAGTTCACCTATCATGCCCTTTATAAGAGCTGATAAAATCAAAATGGAATTACACCTTCTTTCTCATCCACTTCTTCACTTCGTTATCACTACACAGTGACTAAAAGCCGTCAACTGCAGGAGGAAAGGAAGTCAGTATCCTAGACAACTAAAACTTGTATAATTAAATCCTAGATGATTTAGAAATATGGCAAATATATTTCATTAGCTGCAATCTGGTGAGGCTAGGGTTGTATTCAGAGTTAGACATGATGAAGTCAGATTTGCATCCTTCTGAAAATCACAACTCTTAGAATGAAAAAGAAAATTCAAAGAAAAGAGTATGTTAACCACTGAGGAAGTATCTAGACTGGGTCATATTAACTCTTATTTCCATGTAAAACAGGGTGAATTCTATTCCTATCTATGGCTCTCACCAAATGCATGTTCTTTCTTAAAGCAGACGGAAGAGAACTGAGAGTACCTGATGTGCATGCAGCTTTGTGCCAAGTTGACAGCATAGCCAGAGGGTAAATATTCACAAAAATACCTGATTACTCATTGCAATGAGAATATTAAGATGGTGTGAACTGCTAGCAAACAGAGGTGTTTATCCAATTTTTTATAGTGCTTTGTAAATTCAGAACAGATTATCTCATTTCCTCATTTATTATGTGCACTGCACACATTATCTACACAGGCTTGTGAAGTAGGCAGAGGAATTAGATAGTGTTAGAAGATGATAAGTTTTATTTGGTAACCGACATAGGTAATATAAAGCTGTGCTAAGGACACTTTTGAATTTTTCTAGAGATTTAAAATAAAAGCCTGTAACTGAGAGTACTTGCCAAGACAGTATCCTTTACAAAGTTATATTAATTACCAAGTTAAAATGCTTAGGATTTATGTGTTCATCCAGAAAAGTGAATTATTTTCTTCTCAGTTCTATGAGAAGTGAACTGTCTGCCTATTATAACAGGAAGTGTTTCCTTCCTTACTAATATTTTGATTATTATTCCAGGGAAACTATAATCAACCAATAAAGACAAGGTCTAGAATTGCAATTTTGATTAACTGTAAAGGATTTTTATTTGTTGTAAACAGTTTGGTCTCTTAGCAATTATGAGAATTTGATTCTTGCCTTACACATATCAGATATGTAATTTTTAAACTGAAGCCCCTTTTTCTGACTCTTTATTTAAACTGTGAGGGGAAAAGAAAATGAATGATCTTACTAATTTTTTTCCAGAGAAAGTAAAATTAAGATAAAGACAAAAGCGGGACGCCTGGGTGGCTCAGTTGGTTAAGCAGCTGCCTTCGGCTCAGGTCATGATCCTAGCGTCCTGGGATCGAGTCCCACATCGGGCTCCTTGTTCTGTGGGGAGCCTGCTTCTCCCTCTGCCTCTGCCTGCCACTCTGTCTGCCTGTGCTCTCTCTCTCTCTCTTTCTGACAAATAAATAAATAAAAAATCTTTAAAAAAAAAAAAAGACAAAAGCAATCTTAGTATTATCACGATTTTACTTTTTAATAGATTTTTTTTATATATGGAAAGTAGAATTTGATTTTTTTTTCCTAAGTAAGCTCTATACCCAATGTGGGGCTTGAACTCACCACTCTGGGATCAAGAGTAGCATGCTCTACTGACTGAGCCAGCCAGGTGCCCCAGAACTTTGCATTTTAGATTTGCATTCAGAAAACTCCAACTTCTATCTAGGTTAAGATCAAGCTTTGATAAGGCCAATTTTATTTATTTATTTTTTTTTTCAATTTTACTTTTAAAGAAAGTATATGAACACCTAAAACTCTTCATATGCCTGAGACTTCAGGGAATGTAAAAAGATTTGTAAGTTGGAATTTCTGAGAGCTCACTATAATAACTACATAGGAAAATTATATAGAAAAACTATACAGAAAACTATATAGGAAAAATTCACTGTTTCCCCATTGAAGGCAAATATTTGGTGCTAAAGAAAGATGTGACATTTATAATGCAGGCCTATGTTCAGATATAATTTCAGATAAATGATGTAATGATTTGCATCTTTTAATTTCTCTTCTCAAAAATTCAAAAACTAGGGGCGCCTGGGTGGCTCAGTTGGTTAAGCAACTGCCTTCGGCTCGGGTCATGATCCTGGAGTCCCGGGATCGAGTCCCGCATCGGGCTCCCAGCTCCACGGGGAGTCTGCTTCTCCCTCTGACCTTCTCCTCGCTCATGCTCTCTCTCACTGTCTCGCTCTCTCTCAAATAACTAAATAAAATGTTTAAAAAAAAAAATTCAAAAACTAGTACTACTGGCTGTTTCAAATACTGATACAGTTATCAGCAGTGCTTGTGACATTGAAATACATGCATATATACATATGCACCTATGTATATATGTAAGAGAATGCACGCACCACAAAATACTACATTCACTAAGGCATTCCCATTTTAGTCAGGGGGGCAGCATGCAGGATTATGTCTTTTATTCACTTGATCTCATGAGAATAATAATACATGCTGGAGTGATAACACTGGCACATTCACACAGCAGCAAAGAAACTATGGATGATTCTGACTCTATCCTCTGCTCTAAAACCCTTTACCACACCTCTAAACGATTTCCAAACACCAAGAGACTCACAGATGGATGATTTTGTAATATTGCAAAGAAATACAGCACTAAAGAATGTAAAGACAGTCATGATGTGGGAAACCAAATTGTGTATAGTTAACACAAACTGAGAAAGTTTTAAGAACACAAGACATTCATCAGAGAAAACTCAGAAAATCAGTTTACTTACTCTAATAAAATAGCCCTGTAAGCATGCCACTGTGTGAAAAAAAAGTTTAAAAAACATTGTTTCATTGTTAACATTTTATTGCAAGCAACCAGTTATGGTTTAGGCATTTTTTTTCCCTAGCCTTTCCCTGTTTCTCAGGTCTAATAAAGTTTTAGCATATTATTTTTAATGTGAAAAGCAAAAGTTGTAGAGGTAGTATAATTATAGAAAGTAATTTTTAAAACTACTGTTCTACTATTTATTTTGTACCTAAATTTTCACCGTTATTTGAAATAACAAATAAATTCTACTTATATTGATTTTTAAAGTTCTCTGCCAAGTTCTCTGAGGACAAATTTTTTTGGATCTAAGGAATTAAGTCATTTTAATGTAACAGCATCTGTGCTTTATATAATGGTTTAGAAAACTTTCACTTTCATTAATTTAATCCTTCCCTTTTTTGTAATATAGACATTATTTTCTCTATTGTGTAAGTGAAGAAGTTAGATGACCTGCCCAAGATCCCTTATCTGGTTGAAGGCCTAAGTCAAGACTTGGACTATAGCCTGAGACGAAATCTTATGCTCTGTGTCATCACTTTTCCCGTTTTTACCATATTCATTACCAAAGGAAAAAAAACTAAAACAAAAACAACAAACTCCACTTTGGTTTGCTGACAACTAAACACAAGAAAAGGCTTCTATCTGGACTCTTAGGAGACTCCAGGATAATGTGTCTTAAATGTGTCTTAAAAATAATAAATATTTTTATTATGTGTCTTAAAAATAATAAATATTTTCTAATAAATGGCTATAAATTAAGACATTAAAAAAATTCTTAGATGCCTGATACTTCCTGGTCCCACTCTGCTTTCCTAATACTTTATAGTAAAGCCATCTAGAAGTTTTCAATGAATATCTTGCTCTGAAAATAAGCGATGGAAAATGCCATCACTATTCTCCTCTGCTGCTAATGGCAGAGGGAAGCTCTGGGTTTTTAGTCAAAGTAACGTCTGCTTCTATTTGCAAGGGATATGACAAAGGCAAAGAAGGCAGTTAAAGTTTCCTATTTGCAGAAAAAAGGAATCTTATTAAAAGGAGGAAAGATTTAAATTGGACATTTTATTTTTTTTAAATGAAGAGTAAAATGAAAATCACAATTTTTGATTAAGCATTAGGCCAACAGATCAAACGTATCTACCCTTCAATTTACTTATCAGAGACATTTCTATTTTAATATTCCTAAATACAAATAAAATATAATCCTTACAGGTATCTATTAGATCACTTACTTCTATTAAATACTATCTAATCAACTAGTGTGTGTGTATACATAACATATATATAACTTTAAATTACCTTGATCGTTTTGTCCATATCTCCATAGCACAGGGAGTTAAGAGAGATTTTAAAAGGCCTCCAAACAGGATTCAAGTTATTTTTAATAACCTATAAAATGAAGATACAAAGACTAGTTAGAAAAACATTCAGTTCTTGCTACACTCTCACTAATCATCCTCCACCTTTTCACCCAGTCAATTTTTTCAATGAAAAACTATCTAGGACAATATTATACAAGTGTTAGAAGAAAAACATGATAGATACAGTCTGAGAAAAGAAGAGAAACTACTTGGAAAATATATTTCACCCATTACAAGGTACACTTAGAAACTACAGATTGTTGATTTTGTGGAAAACCAGGGTTTTCATTGCAGGACACAGAAGATTCAAATTTGGAATAAGCAAGGATGAGAAAGAACCTTGCTGGGTTGGGCTTGAATTGAAGAAATAGTCTAAATTCATGATTTAAAATTTTTGTAAATATACATACATAATAAACATATGCACAAATACACGTTTCCCAGCTATGTCCTTTGAAAAGGCATAAGTCAAATGACATCTCAGTAGCAATGAGTACATCTACGACTACTCTGTTAGAGGAATAGGGTTCCAAGAGAAAGGGCTCATTCCAGACCTGGGAGAGAGTGAGCATAATATGACCTGAGAATATAGTTTAATGCAAAGTAAGAGAATGCAGGGCACCTGGCTGGCTCAGTCAGAGGAGCATAAGACTCTTGATCTCAGGGTGGTGAATTCAAGCCCCAGATTTGGTGTAGAGATTACTTTTAAAAATAAATAATTAAATAAATAAATAAACAAATAAATAAAAGAATGCTTAAAGACTAATGGGGTTATGTTAAAGGGACCCAAAAGCCTTTCAATATCACTCTCCCTGGTCAAATTTGGATTAATCAGAACAGCTAAAATGACAGTAATGAATTATAATATAATGAATATACCATGTTATAACAGTCATGAGTCTAAATGATACCAAAAATGAAAAAGGAAGTGAGAGGAGAGATGAAAGAGGTGTATCTGCTATTATATGTAAAGGGATGAAAATTTTAGAAAAAAATCACTATTTTATAACCCCTAATATAAAAATTGACTTAGGTATGGATCATCAGTAGATGGATGACACGCAAAAGAACAGTTTAATCATGCATTCTCAAAGTGTCACACCACAGATCACTTATTAATTACAAAGGGGAAAAAATGGGACTTTATCATGGCAAGATCTGGTGGTCACTAGCTTAATCAAGTAGACAAGATTGGCAACATCATTACTGGACAGCTTGAGACCATGAGTCCTCTGATGATACAGAGCAAGGTATACATACATAATGTCCTGGATGGATTTGTTTGATTTGGATATAACTGTAAGGAAACAGTAGACTTAGAATGTTGGACACACTGGTCTTCATTATTCAGGAGATTCAAGGGCATTAAGACCTAAGACAGATAGGGAGAAGAATCTTATATATTGGGAACATAAGAACCCAATGCAAAATGTGAAATGCAAAATGTGAACCTTTAATCATCCTAGACAAAAATATGTGGAGGTATATATATATACCCCTCCATATATATATATATGTGTGTGTGTGTGTGTGTGTGTGTGTGTGTGTGTGTATCTCAATCAACTGCAGAAATTCAAAGTTATATGATACACTGATGTTATAAATTTTAAATTTTGAGTCCTAAACTTCCAGGTGTGATTGTATAGAAGAATGCCCTTCTTCTCAAAAAAAGCCTGCTGTGGTAATAAGGTGATGTCTGTAGCCTGCATTAAAACAGTTCTGCAAATGGGAAGTATATGTGTGCATGTCTGTGTATATGTATATGTGTGTCTGTGTGTGAAAGTGAGTGAGTGAATGAGAAAGAACACACATGCAGATATGACCAGGTGGCAAATCAAAGTGAAGGATACACAGGTATACATTTTAGTGCTTTTTACAGGGTCTTAAATTTTTCAAGATAAAAATTTTACTGACAGGGGGCGCCTGGGTGGCTCAGTGGGTTAAGCCGCTGCCTTCGGCTCAGGTCATGATCTCAGAGTCCTGGGATCGAGTCCCGCATCGGGCTCTCTGCTCTCTAGGGGAGCCTGCTTCCTCCTCTCTCTCTGCCTGCCTCTCTGCCTGCTTGTGATCTCTCTGTCAAATAAATAAATAAAATCTTTAAAAAAAAAAAATTTTACTGACAGTTCAGCATGGTAGTACCTCCACATGAAAGGAAAAAAAAAAAAGAAATGAGTATGTTGATCTTGTATCTCTGGCTCTATATGTCTGAACTCAGACTGATATTTTTACAAGTACATAATTTTTAAAAATTTAGATTACTACAATTCCAATGGAAACCTCAACTCTACTTTTTCAAATTCAGATATTCACCTCTGTTCGATGAACCATGAGCCAGTTTCCATCAGATGTCTGCTTGTGGAATTCCAGGTATGGATCTGACTTTCCAAATAGATCCTACATTTAAAAAAAGTCAATTATTCTCCTCTGAAACCATGTGAAACCACACTTTATACATGTTACATGTTAGCAGTACCTGAAGTCTAACTCCATAGTACAGATATATACAGTACAGTACAGTAATAAATACAAATCCCAGTCTTCCTCACAAACTTACCAACCTGCAGATGCCTACAAGGAGAACTACTACGGCATTTGTGATAAACGCTCATAATCCTGTGTCTCACACCTTCACTTCTCAAAAAAACATGAGAACATGGCTTTAAAATATGGTGAACAATAAGACCCATAATCAGTAAGATATGTTTGGGGCTTGTTTTCATTAGTAAGAGTATTCAATTAGTTTCATTAGTAAGAGTATTCAATCACATAGCACTGAATAGTTTTACACAAATGACATCCCAAACATTAGCCATACTGACACCATGAGGGACAGCAGTTATCAGCAATAAAATGGATTCACAGGGGTTAAGTGACTTTGGCAAGATCATACATCTAGTAAATTCATGGATCTGAGTCTTGACTTTATATCTTATTCTTCTATTTCCAATACTCTTCCACCAATTCCACACATTTCTTTACACACAGAAGGGAGTAGAGGTAAATATGTGAAGTGAATAATGGAATTATTCCAACGGTACAAAGTACATCTTCTTTTTCCTCTGTAATTCACCACAGAACCCCTGTATAATGCTGAAGCACAGTGAGTGCTCAAAAATACTCTTATCACTAGCCTCAATACAAACACACACATACACACACACACAAATACACATACACACACATACACAGAGATAAAATTCCGGAAGATTGACCAAATCACTTTCAGAGGTCAAACTCAAGTGAAATTATAAATTATTTTGTTTTCTCATTTTTGTTTGCCTTTATTTTGACATTGTCATACTCTTTAGAATATACAACTTATTATTTGTTAAAATGAAAGGACATCTGTTAATTCCACAGTAATATATGCAGCTATGCCCTGAATTGAAAACTTCTTGAGTCCTAAATTAAACTCAGTATTAAATTAAGAACTAAGATAATATTATTTCCTTCCTCAGCAGTTCAATGTCAAGCAAGTAATATATATGGTACAGTCAAAAATATAAACACGGGGCTGGGTGGGGGGACAGAAAGGACCTGGGAGGCTCAGTTGGTTAAGTGTCTGACTCATGATCTCAGGGTCTTGGGACTGAGCCCCATGTCGGGTTCCCTACTCAGCGGGAAGTCTGCTTCTCCTTCTCCCCGTGTCCTTCGCCCTTCTCATGCTCTCTCTCAAAAATAAATAAATAAAATATTTAAAAATATATATAAACACGGGGGGGGGACTGGTTGGCTTAGTCAGAAGAAGATGTGACTCTTGTTCTTGCATCATGAGTTTGAGTCCCATTTGGGTGTGGAAGATTACTTAAGTAAGGAAACTTTTAAAATATAGATATAAATATAGATACATATATACACACACACACACACAAACAAAGGTTATCCAGAACTCTAAAAAAATATTAAGATTTTACTTATTTATTTGAGAGGGAGAGACAGCTCAGGAGAGGGAGAAGCCGACTCCCCAGTGAGCAGAGAGCCCAACTCAGGGCTTGATCCCAGGACCCTGAGATTATGACCTGAGCCGAAGGCAGACACTTAACTGACAGAGCCATCCAAGCACCCCAGAACTTTTAAAATTTAACCTTATCTAATAAGAATTTTAAGAATCAATGTAATTAGCCTCTCTGTAAACCATTTAATAAAACTAATAGCAGCACTATACACAGAGAAGTTAACTTTCTAAAAACACATTAATGTACCTTGTCTGACCTGTCTTAGAAATAAACCAAAGAGAAAGGCAGAATATCATTATTACCATTTTGAAAGTCAGACAACAAACCTTTGAAAGTTCATTAAAATGTCAGTAGTAGATCTAAAGTAAGAATTAACAGTTCCTGACTCAGATCTCCAGAACATGTTAAGTGAAAAAAAGCAAGGTGGAGAAAAGTGTATATATGCATATCTAGAGAATATATATTCATATGTGTGTCTGAATGCACAACTATGGGGAAACGTGGGTGGCTTAGTTGGTTAAGCGACAGATTGTCGCCTTCGGCTCAGGTCATGATGTCAGAGTTGTGAGATGGAGCTCCAGGTCGGTATCCCCATTGAGTGGAGCCTGTCTAAGATTCTCCTTAGAATCTTCTGCACCGGGGCGCCTGGGTGGCTCAGTGTGTTAAAGCCTCTGCCTTCGGTTTAGGTCATGATCTCAGGGTCCTGGGATCGAGCCCTGAGTTGGACTCTCTGGTTTGCGGGGAGCTGCTCCCCACCGACCCCCTGCCTGCCTCTCTGCCTACCTGTGATCTCTGTCAAATAAATAAATAAAATCTTAAAAAAAAAAAAAAAGAATCTTCTGTACCTACCCTGCCCACTCCCCGTCCCCAACTCATGTGTGCACACACACACATACACATGCTCTCACTCTCTCTACCTCACTAAAAGAAAAAATGGTATATGTATGTAGTATGCTACAGCTACCCAAGGGCTGAGGGTAGAGAATATAAATACAAATACATAAATACACACACACATACATATCTATCTACATAAACATATCAATACACATACATATATACATATATGTATATATACAGAGGCATACAAACACATACACACACAAAAAAGCCTTAGTTTTCTTTTAGGAAATTGAAAAATTAAACCATGAAATATAAATTTTAAAACATTATTACTACAGGGACAAAGGAAGAAAAAACATAGCAGACAGGGAAAGAAGCTAAATTTCTTGAAAATATCTTGTTTTATAGATTTGGCTTTGGAACCATACAAATCTCTTATATAATTATAAAACAAAGTTAAATTTTTAAAAATTGAAAACAATCCCTAAATATCAAAAGCAAAATTCAAATGTGTCATTGTGATAGAACAATAACTAAAAGATTTCTTTAAAACACAAGAATTTGAATATACAGCCCACATAGAATATATAACCCTAAAGACAAAAAGAATTTCAAAGAGGAGTGCCTAGTTGGCTCAGTCAGCAGAGCACGTGACTCTTGATTTCAGGGTAGTGAGTTCAAGCTCCACACTGGGTGTAGAGATAACATAAATGAACAAATAAAGTTAAAAAAAAAAAAAAGAATTTCAAAAAAAGCTCAATCTGTTTTCAGTAAAAATACTGTTAATTATAATATGGATATTTTTATTCTGAAAGTATTAGATATTATAAAAGGCAAACAGAAGCAATTATGTTAACATCCTTAGGAACTGAAATTTTTAGCATAAGAGAAGGCAGGCACAAATATAGAATTAAAGAAGTAAGGCCCTGTAATTCTATATCTGAACTGGAAATAGTTGTATAAATTTATGATTTAGTTTTTCTTTAAACAAAACAAAACAGTCTTTCCTCTAATTGTCTACTAAAAAGCCTTAGAAACAGTAAGTGGCAATAATCGACAATAAGCACCCCTAGCACCAGACTGGTCTCTAAATAACAATTTCCACTAAAATATAATCAGGCTCTTTTTAATCTGCAGTCTGGAGCAGAAATTAGATAAAAATAAGCCTGGAACATCTTGTCATGCCACACAGCAAGGAAGCTATCCAAAGACTCCTGGAGATGTGCCAACTGATTTCGGGAACAAACTTCAAGAGGTTTTCACAGGCCAAAGTTAAGATAATTTAAGCATCTATGAGTTCACTGATAAAGAGTTCATAGCAATACTAAAAATAAAAAACAACAAACAAAACCAAAACCCTCATTGTCACATTTAGAGGATGATAGGGAACCAACTTAATCTGTGAAATGGTATATATGAAGAAAAAAATCAAACATTTTAATTTGCTTCCTGTACAATCATACCTCAGAATAAATACATATGTAACATGGGTAAGAATACTTTTCTCTATAGAAGTATCCTCATTAATAAATGAAGAAGCAATGATAGCATGAGAATCTCACTATTTAACAGGCTCTTAATAAAATAATATATCTAGGCAGTATAATTATCATCAATGTTCAGATGTCCCAAAAAGACAGGACTCAACAATGGGAGCCTCCTGATGAAATCACATGTCGCCACCTATAAAGCTGCCCTACTGACAATTCAAAATACCATCAGATCATTTCCTCTAGACTCCGTTACCAGCTTACAGAAATCAGGAAATAAAGATGGAGAGAAGAACACGTTAAATGACACCACAAGCATTTAATCAGTTATAAGCAGTGTTACAACTTCTATAGGACAAAGGAGTCCATTTCTTTATTGAGTAAGTTCCATGATGGACAGATGGATGGATGGGATGAAGGAAGAAAATGAGAGGAAATAAAGGAAAGAGAGAGGTAGGAAGAAAGTAAAAGAAAGGGGGAAATGTATGGATTAAAAAAGACTGGAAACTGGGGCACCTGAGTGACTCAGTGGATTAAGCCTCTGCTTTCGGCTCAGGTCATGATCTCAGGGTCCTGGGATCGAGCCCCACATCAGGTTCTCTGCTCAGCAGGGAGTCTGATTCCCTTCTCTCTCTCTCTGCCTTCCTCTCTCTGACTACTTGTGATCTCTGTCAAATAAATAAAATCTTTAAAAAAAAAAAAAAAGACTGGAAACATACCAACCAATTATACTATTAAAAGAATCTTTGGAGATACACCAGAATATTTATGGATGAAATGACATGATGTCTGAGAGGAGAGAAGGTAGAGAGGGGTGGTGATGAAACAAAACTGGCCATGAGTTTTAAGTGTTGAAGATGGATGATGGGGATATGCAGGGTTTTTAAAGACTATTCTATTTAAATTTTTCCAAAATAAAAGTAGTCCCTGGCTACTAGTCTAAGATGTTTGCAAACTAAATTGTAAGGCAAATAAAATGATTTTAAAAAATTGATTGGTTTATGTGATTAAGTATAAAATCACTCGAAGAATTATTCTAATTCATGCTATATACTAAGTTGTTGTGTTATTATGTACTGCACTCATTCTTCATTAAAAATAAACACTGAGGGGCGCCTGGGTGGCTCAATGGGTTAAAGCCTCTGCCTTCAGCTCAGGTCATGATCCCAGGGTCCTGGGATCGAGCCCCGCATGGGGCTCTCTGCTCAGCAGGGAGCTTGCTTCCCTTCCTCTCTCTCTGCCTGCCTCTCTGCCTACTTGTGATCTCTGTCTGTCAAATAAATAAATAAAATCTTTTAAAAAATAAATAAATAAAAATAAACATTGACTTTTGGAAACAAAGAGAAAAATCCAATAGAGCATGGAATTTCTATTTCTTTCCTTAAGGTAATCAAACAACACTGTCTCGAATGACTTTTACAATAACCTTAATGCTTTTAATAACTCTTCTTTTAAGCTAAACAAGCCCTTTGATAACACCTAGAAGAAAGAGGTAAAAGAAAATGGCTTCTGCTTAAACATACATAGGAAAGCAGAATCTGGAAGTAACTAAATACTCTAAATGATGCTTAGATGACAGAGTTCATAATACTAATTGTATCATTTTTTTTTTCAAAAAGGAATCAATGTGAGGCAAAACATGATATCCTTGTAGAAATGTGCATCAACTACCCACCTTATTGTCCAGTTTTCTTGCCTCCATTTCAAACAAGACCACTCTGTTATCCTTTATTTCTTCAGCTGAAATCTATGAGGAGATATGGTAAGTGAAAGACAATATGTTTTAGGGATTCTGATAAACTCAGAAGTACTGATTTATTCTGTTATCTGATAATAGATATAATCTGTACTAATATAAATGAATTTTTTAATCTTTTATAAGAAAAAGTACCATTCAGAAAGATTGATCATTATTTCTTTAATGTGTATAAAATATTTTCCCCAAATATGCCAAATCTGTATTACACAACTTATTTTTCAAATGCTGTTACCCAAATTAGATCTTCCCCATTCCAGTGAAAAATCAAAGCCCCTGGGGCGCCTGGGTGGCTCAGTAGGTTAAGCATCTGCCTTCAGCTTATGTCATGATCTCAGAGTCCTGGGATTGAGGCCTATGTCAGGCTCCCCACTCGGGGACTCTGCTTCTCTGTCTTCCCCTCTGCCCACACCACCCCACTTGTGCTTGCTCTCTCCCTCTCTCTCTCTCTCTCTCAAATAAATAAATAAAATTTTAAAAAAGTAAAAGAAAAATCAAAGCCCTGAAAAACTGCATGACCCTATCTAAAGTGTGAGCAAGTCATACCTAGAGGATACTTTAAATTGAAATATCAGATCAACATTTTTCATCCAATGTCATTGAAAAACTTATTCTAGTTAAAAACAAATTCCAGGCTATCATGACCCCAAGAGCTATAGAGCTAACTACTGTAATGTTCTGTCTCACAGAAGTCAACACCCAAAGACACTTAAAATCCTTATGCCTCAGGAGACTTAAACTAGACCAAAATAGTTGCTTAGGGAAATGCCCTCATAATGACAACAACCCTCAAACAGGAGGGAGCCAGCCCTCCATTCTCAGAGCTAAAGTTAGAAAATATTGCTCCAGGCAGTGATAACCTAGACAGAAACTCTAGAAGATAATTATTTTATCCTATTATTTAAAGATATTTATTTAAAGTGTGGCATTATGTAATTTGAAATATAAAACAGTATAAAGCATATATTCATTTGCCTAGGACCAGTAATTAGCAACAGAAAAATCTGAGTGGGAGGATGGGCAGGAGAGCAGGAGCACAGAAAAGATGGTTAAGAGTTCAGAGGCTCATGGATGCCTGGCTGGCTCAGTCAGAAGAGCATGTGACTCTTGATCTCAGCATCATGAGTTCAAGCCCCACACTGGGCACAGAGGCTTAAATAACAAAATAAAAACTTAAAAAAAAGGGGGGATTGAGGGGTCCAATGGTCATGGCATAATATAAGATCCATTTGGAATTAAATCCATTATACAGTTTCTGTCCTATTGGGGGAACTTTGTAGAGGGTCAAATTAATCCATTCAGATGATTAAGTCATTTCTCTCTAACTTGGGGATTTACACTTGCATGAGGGAGAGACAAGCATCACCAAGCTACATCTGATTCCATGAGCAACTTAAAAGACTCAAAGAAGGAATTCCCATACTGCATTTTCTCCTTCTTTTTGACCCAACGTATTTCCCATTTGTGATCATTGTAAGGCAAGTAAGGATGAAGGACAACATTCGGGATGAAATGATAAAGCATGGCTATAGAGTATTTGTCTGATATGTAGAGTTTCAGCATGTCCTATCATGTTAAATATTTTCAGGCAAAAGACAAATATCTTATTGTTACCGTAATGCTCCCTTTCCCTGCAGGTCTGCCATTTTTAAGCACCAGGGGTCGAGTTAGCTTCTTACTGGAAACAATCTGTTAAAATTGGAAAGTGATACAAAGAGCTATTTCACTTCAGTATGTGAATTTTTAAACTGAATGATCTCAAAAAAAGTTGAGTATAAAGTTAAGTCAACTTAAGTCATTAGAAATGGAACCATTAAGTCCATGCCTTAAATATTTAGAGATTATAAAACACATCTACATATTTAAAACCAACTGGAAAAGATTTCCAAGGAGCCAGTCCTGGCAGATACGATCTCCCAACCACTAGTTTCTTTATCAATTACTTCAAAGTTTAACTTCCTCCCTGTAATGGAAAAAGAGGAACGGGTTCTCTTCATATATACTAATCACTGAGCTGAAAACCCTATAGATGAGAGGTGGGCCTCAGAACACTCAATAAATGAGATTCAACTTTTCAACTGATGCATAACTTGAATATATAACCCTCACAAAATATCATTTTTGATTAAAATAATATAGTAGAGGTGTCTGGGTGGCTCAGTGAGCTAAAGCCTCTGCCTTCGGCTCAGGTCATGATCCCAAGGTCCTGGGATCGAGCCCCACATCGGGCTCTTTGCTCAGTAGGGAGCCTGCTTCCTCCTCTCTCTCTGCCTGCCTCTCTGCCTACTTGTGATCTCTGTCTGTCAAATAAAAAAAAAAAATCTTAAAAAAAATAATAAAATAAAATAAAATAATATAGTAGACCTAGGTACTCTCAAATAGATGCATCTATCAAATTCATTATAATTTAGCTATAATGTGGTTTTTTTTCCGAAAAAAATCAATACTTTAATTTTCTCTTTGACCCTCTTCATCAAAGTTTTAGAAAACTGATCAACTTCAGTTTCATATTGTCCTTGAGACATAGGAAATACCAAGATCCCCAAACAGTACACGGAAAAATAAACAAATCTAGGCAATAATGTCACCCACTGAAAAACAATGAGTCTTCCCTCCTGAGGCCTTCCCAGCTCTATTGCAAATGGTCATGATCTCTCTTCATTTTTTTTTTTTAAGATTTTGTTTATTTATTTATTTATTTGAGAGAGGAGCATGTGGCAGGGTGGGGACAGGGGGAGGGTGCAGCACACAGAGAGGGACAAGCAGATTCCCTGCTGAGCGGGATCTCAAGACCCTGAGATCACAACCTGAGCTGAAATTAAGAGTTTTACAACCAACTAAGCCACTCAGGCGCCCTGATTTCTCTTTAGAACTCAGACTCTGAGAAAGAAACAAAACGGTGAGCCTACAGGCACACCTCTACCCTGATCAAATCTGTCACATAGGAAAGACAGATAATTAAGTAACTATGGATGGATGGTTGATGATCAGGTAGAAGCAGTAGAGAGTACCGGGGTGAGCACAGGGTGGCGCTCCAAACTACTCAAGGGGATCAGAGGAGGCTTACTGGAGAGGAAGGTTTACACTGGTACACCTAAGGTTGAGGAAGATCAGGCCAGGTAAAGGGACAGTGTTGGGCCATCAAGGATCTAGAGGGATCAGTCACGTCAGTTAGAACATTAGAGAGGTTGCTGTTACTTTGAAAACATTTATGACTTAAGCATAAGAACAAAATTGTAGGGGTGCTTGGGTGGCTCAGTCTGTTAAGCCTCTGACTCTTGGTTTAACCTCAGGTCATGATCTCAGAATCTCATGTGCTCAGTGCAAAATCTGCTTGTCCCTCTCCCTCCCCATCTGCCCCTTCTGACACCCTCTTTCTCAAAAAAGTAGGTAAATAAAATCTTAAAAAAAATTTTTTTTTAAAAGAAAAACCAATAGTACACAAAGCAGCTAGAGCAATGGTATTATTTACTGCAATGTTAAACGAAACACCCCAACTCAAAAGAATTAATGGGTTTTGCCAAAAACACATAGTCCCTGCCCTTATGAAAAATAAGATAAATTCTATAATGTTCAAACCAAACATACTAATATATGAAACAGGTCTGTAAAGTGATTACATACATCTCAACTCTAAAAATTAAACTAATGAACACTTATAAAAACGCCCAATTCTCTGGTTAAAATTTTAGACACAATATACTGCAGTAGCTAATTATACTCACTTGTCCAAGGGTACATTCAAATTCTCCTAAGAAGTCATCATCATTCAGCTGGATGGTTTTGTTGTCAATGTCATAAATCCCAAATTTCAATTTCTGAACCACTTCAAAGTAGTAATCAATAACAAATGTCTTGGAAAATGTGGGATTCAAGCAATTCTTAATCCTTTCTGTGCGATCAACCTATACTCACCCCAAAACAAAAAGTTTTGTCAGATTAAAATGCACTTACATTTTAGCATCTTTATGTACTATAGGTAACTAAATATAAGCATAACAGATAGCTAAAGAAAGTTTCCATATGTAGATGAAAAATTCCACAATCAAGGACAAACTTGCCCCCAAAAAACTACATTAAAATATGAGCTGTTTTCATTATTTTTAACAGTTGTAATAAGCACTTCACATTATCAAAAGAGCAATTCAGAATCCTTTTCACCTACAGTATTTAACATTACCTCATACCACTGTTGACCACTCGTATTTAAAAATAACACACATAAAGGGTCCGACTTTGACCCTACATCCATATCCAAAAGATTGTCACAGGAAACATTCAGCTCCACCTTTGTAACGCATTGAGCAGCCATCTTGAACTGTGAGAAAACCAAAGAAACAGGATGCTAATGAAATGGTGCCTTTAATAATAAGTCCATGCATTCCCAATGAAACAGCTGAATTCTTAGGAAAAGCTGTCAAAATAGGATCCCGGACTAAACTCGCTGGAATAAGACTGTTAATATGTGGGGCACCAGGGTGTCTCTGTGGGTTAAGCCTCTGCCTTCGGCTCAGGTCATGATCTCAGGGTCCTTGGATTGAACCCCGCATGGGGTTCTCTGCCCAGAGGGAAGCCTGCTTCTCCCTCTCCCACCACCATCCCCGTTTGTGTTCCCTCTCTTGCTGTGTCTCTGTCAAATAAATAAATAAAATCTTAAAAAAAAAAAAGCAGAATTATCCCTTAATAAGAAACAAAATTCACAAATTCCCAATTTGCCTACTAAATACCCGACCCAGGTATTTTGTAAAACTAAACCTAAATCTAAATCTAAATTCAGATTTCTTTATTTTGTCATCTTACGTTGTCAAAATTATTAAGTGCCAAAATACACAGTGCTGACAATATGTGCCAAAGATATAAAGATCAAGAAGTCATTGAAGCAGACAGAGAATAACTGACAGAACCAAGAGTGTGGGTCAGACTGACATTCCCTGGGCTTTGAAGGATTCCATTAGGTGAAGAGAGAGACAGCACAGAGTAGAAAAGAATCAAGACATTAGAAGGCACAGTGAGGACACCTCATCATCACATGTCACAGAAGTAAGCATCCATGTTGGGAGCAACCAAGCTGGACAGGAAGAGGGTCAAGTTTGGTGTCCTGAGAGCTAGGCTGAAGTACTGGTGGGGAGGGTGGATAGGAGGTACTACTGAAAGTTCTCACATTGAGGATAATAGAATGAAATGGTTTATTTTTAAATGTCACTTGTGTCAGGGCACCTAGGTGGCTCAGTTAGCTAAGGGTCCGACTCTCGACCTCAGCTCAGGTCTTTGCTCCTTCCTCTTCATCACCCCGTATGATAAGCTCTGGAATCAGACAGATGAGTTCTCATCTGGATCCCACACTGACTTAATGTGTTACCTCAGGTGAGAGTCTCCACCTCCTTATAGCCCCTCGTTTTCCTCATCTGCAAAATGAAAATAATATTTCTCATACAGTTGTTGCAAGGATTAAATGAGTGAATATAATTAAATAGTGCCTAGTACATGGTGAGTGTTCCAAAATTATTTATTACTATTATATTATTTTAGGACTACTTGCCTCCAGGTCTGATCTCCCATATATCCCATGTTTCTTTTTTTTTCTTTTTTTTTTTTTTAAACTAGTCTATTCCATGACGATTTCTCTAATGATTCCAAACTACATCAAGTCATTTGAATTCCTGCTGCAATAATAGTAATAGATAACTACAGTATAGGAACAAGATCAAATCTGGAGTACATTTAGAGTAATACTTGGGTGAAATCCTGCATCTGGTAAGACCTGTGTGACCTCAAATAAATTATCTTTTTTTTTTTTTTTAAAGATTTTATTTATCTATTTGACAGACGGAGATTACAAGCCGGCAGAGAGGCAAGCAGAGAGAGACGGGGGAAGCAGACTCCCCGCTGAGCAGAGAGCCCGATGCAGGGCTCAATCCCAGGACCCTGAGATCATGACCCAAGCCGAAGGCAGAGGCTTAACCCACTGAGCCACCCAGGCGCCCCAAATAAATTACTTTTTGAGCCTAGATTTTCTCATCAGTGAAAATGGAGATACTGTAAGTTAACTTACAAATTGGGCATGTGCTGTGCATCTCGCTTTCATATCTAACATAGAATCTATGGAATAAATGCTTAGTTGTATAATTTTTTTCTTAATGTAGTTTAAGTCTTATAAATTGTATGTCAGCTGTACCCAGGATAATGCAATACCCTGTGGACAGATTTAGAATGAGTAAGGATTTCTAAAGCTCCTGAAGAACATGTAAAGAATTGTCTACCAGCAAGCAGAAAGCCCTCAAATTCCAAAAATGGAGAGAATTCAACAGAAAATGTATTGTATCTATGTGTGAAGTCAGCCTCATAGCAAAAAGACACAATACATCAGAGGAGCATTTTTTTTTTCCCTAACAATGCTCATACAAGAGCCACGAAAACAATATATCAGACACACCCGATTATTTAGTAAATCGTTGACATTACATTACTATATTGCTATTAGGACACAAATTTCCTCTATTAACAGCATTCCCCCATGAAAATGACTCTGAATGCAGCCTCATTTTTTTCTAGAAATTCATTATGGCTGAATGACAAATGGAAGAAATTACATAAACAATCAGGTCTGGAACCTTGTTAAAAGCAACATCCCCGATGATGCTTTTCTCAGTTCCTTTCAGTGTCATCAACCAGCACATGATACACAATTTTTTTAAAAAAGCAATAGGGCATTCTTTTATGATGGAGGAAAATAAGGCAAATGTTTTGTACCCTTTGAGTATGGAGAATAGGAGATTTGGCTGGGATAAGTGACCAGGCAGAGGAATGTGTGTGTACAACTAAAGAGTGATTCTATGTGTTTTACTACCCAAAATGTAGGATGATAGAAAAGACAGAAAGAACCTCCTCCAGGAGTGGACAATAGCTTCTTACAACACAGATTACTTATTGGAGAATTGTCTAGTTTCTAAAATGCAAATAACATCTGGAAATACTAACCCTATCAACGATTCTCCCAGTAACTCTAATTTTCCTGAATCGTTATATAACACAGTTCAAAGGAATTAAAAATAAGACCTAATCATTGAATTTGGGCTGGATGTAGGAAATTTAAAGCATATGGTCACTCCTATACCTGAAATTTCTGAGGTCTAGCTGAAAATTCTTAGGTCTTATGTGCTTTCTCTTTTCCCATCTTTCCTTAGAGGTACTCCTTAGGTCTACTCAGTAAAGCAGATTCTGCCTAGAACAATTTCAAATCTCTCTCAACTATGGAGGTGTAGAACCTTCCCTAGGCCTATGGTCACAACTTCTTCAGGTCTTTTTTTTTTTTTTTTTTAAGATTTTATTTATTTGACAGACAGAGATCACAAGTAGGCAGAAAGGCAGGCAGAGAGAGAGGAGGAAGCAGGCTCCCCACCGAGCAGAGAGCCTGATGTGGGGCTCGATCCCAGAACCCCGGGATCATGACTTGAGCCGAAGGCAGAGGCTTTACCCCACTGAGCCACCCAGGCGCCCCTCTTCAGGTCTTCTGTAGCTCTACCTGCCTACTTAACGGTCTCCAGACAGGCACTCCCACTGCCATCCTCTTTCTATTCATATCATGATTTTATCACTTCTGATTTAAAAAAAAAAAAAATCTGATGCCTGGGTGGCTCAGTGGTTAAGCATCTGCCTTTCACTCAGGTCATGATCCTGGGGTCTAGGATCAAGCCTTGCATTAGGCTCCCTGCTTAGCAAGGAGTCTCCTTCTCCCTCCCCTTCTGCACCTCTCCACCCCTGCCCACCCCGCTTGTGCTCTCTCTCTCTCTCTCTCTCTCTCTCAAATAAATAAATAAATAAATAAAATCTTAAAAAAATAATAAATTTTTTAAAAAATCATTACTGGCTATCCAGAGTCTACCCTAGTCCAATTAGTTACACCTGGAATTCATGGCTCTGTCTACATCTGCCCCCAGCCTGTCATCTAAATTCGTCAAGATCCATTTCAAATGACATTTTGTCCATCAAGCTGTTGCTGATGCCCCTGTAGGGCAGTTATGGTACTGATGCTATTTTCTTACCACTATTGTTACTTGTATGCATGGCCCACACTCTATCTACTGTGTGCTGAGGACAAGGACCTGTTTTTTACTGCTTCCTCTGCATCCTGAAGCGTGCTGTCTGATGTTTGGCACAGGTTTTTCATGGCTGAAATACCAGTAACTTTGGAGTCAGTAGAATTGGTTCAAATTTCCTTCCCATCATTTATTTGGGTGTGTCAGCTTTACCAAACTGTCTGTCAGAACCTAAGTTTCCACATCTATAAATGGGGATAAAAAAATTACCTGACAATTGTAGGTTTATAGGGCACTCACATTTTTAGATATTCTATGAATTGTAGCAATTATTATTTTATAAACTATTCAAATACTTTAACTAATAGTCTAGCCATCAATGGCTTATTATTCAATAGTAAGACATAATGAAACTTTCTCATCCTTGTTTATAAAGAACTTCTTAGTAAAATAATAAAAGAATGCCTGGGATTTACACAAAATTAATTTGCCAGGCAGGCAGCCTTTCTTATAGATAAGTGCTAATTTTCCTAAATCCTCTCAAGATTTTGTTTAGCTGAGCTACCGCCCAGTTGGTGCATGGGGGATGGGGGACAGAACCAGTGTCAGTGACTCATTATTTGTTGTAGAACAATTGGGAGGGAGAAGTCAGTGCCCAGCCACGAATGTCTCTAGGAAATTTCACTCTTTAGCTACTAAATGAGGAGGCTGGCAACATTACAAAGTTCTTAAAGGTTCCTTCTGGTTCTAATACCATGATTCACTAACTGCTATCCATACTGCATCCTGCATGACCTCCACTGAAAGCCAGCAGGGTAACCTTGGGGCAGCTGGAATGGGGCCCAGCAACATCAGCAGGACACACCCCATGCAGTGTTTCTCAAATTGTGTGGCTCAGAACAGTAAAAGTGTCCTCCTCAACCTCCCTAAAAAAGTGGGGGAAGGGTAATATGGCAGTCAGTTTAAAAGCTGCCACTACTTGGAGGTCTCAGTCAAACCAACAAGTGTTTACATTAAGAGGTTACTGTGTGGAACACCTGGGTGGCTCAGTCGTGGGGCATCTGCCTTGGGCTCAGGTCAAGCCCTGTTGTCGTTGTCAGGCTCCCTACTCAGCAGGAGGCCTGCTTCTCCCTCTCCCATATCCTCCCGCTGTGTTCCCTCTCTCTCACTGTGCTTCTCTCTGTCAAATAAATAAGTAAAATCTTTAAAAAAAGAGAGAGATTACTGTGTTCCCATTATCATGCTAAGGACAGTGGGGACCTGATACAGCAACAGAAGACCT